GAAACAAGGTCTCTTAATGAGGACAAACGGCCTGAGTCTGAGTTGTACTATGAGCTGGTTTGTGATCCTCCCGCCTCTGAATTGTGTAACAGTGTGAGCGCCGCCCACCTGCCCTCTTCCCTTTTGGATGTGGACAATGTTTTTCCAGGAAATGAACAACTGAAGCCGCTCAAACTCCTGCGACGACACGTTCAGTTTACAACCGCAGCAGTTAATTGTTAACTGTGTCTCTCTCCGTCTCTCTCTCTGTCTTTTGTTAATATTATTTTATAACATGTCTGCGGAAGTGTGCAGGGAAGCAGCGGAACATCCCGGACTCCTCAAGCTGTCATCCGCCCTGTTTTACGCCGGCAGTTCGTTTCTGATCACCGTGGTGAACAAAACCGTGCTGACCAGCTTCAGGTGGGTTTTCGTCGATGCCCCGGCATCGAGTCTCGGTGTCACACGGGAAGTTTGTCCGGCGAAAGTAACAACTCTGTAACACATGTACTGTTTGTGACGCTGCAGATTTCCCTCCTACCTGCTCCTGGGAGTTGGACAGGTAAGTTGTGCAGGTGTTCGTGTCACTGCGAGGCCAGACAAAGACTTAATGCTTCTCTCCGTTTAGATGATCACCACGATTGTCGTCCTTTATTTGGCCAAGAAAAGCAACACTGTGAAGTTCCCAGACTTTGACAGGAGCATTGTCTTAAAAGTAAGGACTTCTCTTCTCTTCTCTTCTCTTCTCTTCTCTTCTCTTCTCTTCTCTTCTCTTTTCTTTTCTTCTCTTTCTAGGTTTTACTTCAAAGCTAAGTTAGCCTCATTCAAACCTTTTCTAACTCACCTCAGATGCTTTCTTAGAATACATCTCTTGATCAAGACAATTAAATATTGAAAAAGGATTAGGAAAATATTTTAAATGCTTGTTAGATCACATAATGCTGACATCACTTATGGAAAAATCACAAAATGAGGGGGTTAAAATTGGCCTTGGATGTTGAAGGCTCTCCAGGGATGTTTCCTGCTGAGGTTAAGAGGTCGTTTCATCTGGGGAAGGCTTTAATAACATTTTGTTTTAGTGAAATGCTGTTGTGGATGCCTATCCCTCGTTATCCAGCTGTATTGGTGCTTCTTAATAAAAAATAAAAACACACCACTTTATAGTATGTTTGAATGCTTTAATTTAGTTTTTTTTTATTATTTTTTTTTACAGATTTTCCCTCTACCTTTGCTGTATGTTGGAAACCATGTGACAGGACTGGCAAGCACCAAAAAGCTCAGGTTTTCATCCATCTTACTTGAAGAATACCTGTTTATTGGATTTTAGCACACAGTGGTCACTCTTAAACACCTCTTTTTCAGTTTACCCATGTTTACAGTGTTACGGAAATTCACTATATTGATGACAATGATCTTGGAAGCTTATTTATTAAGGTGAGAACTCTCTAAAGCCTTTGGACAGGAAAGAAAATATATGTTAAAATTGACTAGTTGTGTTACAAGAGGTTTGTTTTTGTTTTTCTTCAACCTCTTGTTGGTTTTTTGCTTTTTCAGAAAAACCTTTTCTAGACGTATAATTTGCAGTGTTGTGACGATAGTCTGTGGGGCCATGGTAGCTGCGAGGTACAGACTTTCTCTCATATAATTTATTCGTTTTTTACGGATTAAATGTTTGTAATCTGGTTGTGATTGTTGGATTTTTCTTACTTTTCTTTTTGTGGGCGTTAGTTCTGACCTGGCCTTTGACGTGGAGGCCTACACTTTCATTCTGCTGAACGACGCCTTCACTGCAGCCACCGGTGTTTACACCAAGAAGAAACTTGGTGATCAGGTACCATTTACCGCACAGCCTGCATATATTCATTTAATATCTATGTGTGTTATTTCAAGTTATACTATATGCAAACATGTTTACTTGATTAAAAATATTTTTTAAAAGGCAAATGTTTTAAACTAATTGTAATTTCATTAACGATTTGCTTAGAGCCAAGTTCTCTTCTAATCTTTAAAAAATAGTCTTGATTTTTTTGTTTTCTATGACTTTTGAAGGTCTGCTCATTTTTTTTCTTTGGACTTTTGCTGCTTTCATGTTCATTTTTCAGTCACTTATTACATCTGACTGTGATTGTGAATTGAGCACTGTTCAAAAAAGCAATATCCAAAGCAGATGAATAGTATCCAAAAATTATGACTTTAAAAATAAATGGGGAAAAAAAACCAGAAAACCTGATAAATCCGTCGTTTATCAGGACGGTTTTATCAACATAAAGACCCGTTAATATTGTCTTTATGTTACCGGGTCCAAATCTGTTCTAGATAGTATGGAAAATTTCTGCTTTCATTGCTGCAAAAAAAAATGTGTCCATAAATTATAAAGAGAAGTATACTGTACAGATTTTTTTACTTGCCAATTTTTATTAAAAGGAGGATAAAACATTTTTGTTTTTTCTTAAGATTTATTGAAAGTTGATTGTCTTATTCTCTTTTGAGCCAGAGAAATAAAAATAGTTTTACATCTATATCGGCCAGTTGTATGAATACATTTGGGATTAACTGTATTTGACAAAAGTTAAATTGCCTGGGTGTTAAAAAACAAAAATTTCAATCGCCTCGTCTTTCCTTCTGTTTGTGCTCAGAGCCTTGGGAAGTACGGCGTCTTATTTTACAATTCGCTCATCATCGTCCTGCCCACTCTTTTGGCCAGTGCATTCACTGGAGATTTACACCAGGTACAAAACAATACTATTGATTAGTTGCATTTGTTGCCCAAAATTAGAATTTTTTTTTTGTTTTGTTTTTTCTCATTTTTCCACTTTTTGTCTTTCCATCCACAGGCTCTTTCATTTCAAGACTGGAGCAATGTTGTATTTATTTCATGCTTCCTTCTGTCCTGCTTCATGGGGTATGTCACAGCATCAAACTCCAACACATTCAGTCACAGTCAGTCCTTTGCTGCATTGATAAACTCGTAAACTTGTCTGTTTTTTCATCAGATTTGTATTGATGTACTCAATAGTCCTCTGCAGCTATTATAACTCAGCACTTACAACTACAGTTGTAGGGGCCATAAAGGTAAGAGCAAGCTAACGAGAAGCTTTTGAAGGAATGAAACGATTTCAGACTGAGATCTCAATCTGTCATTTCATCTTCAGTCTCAAGCAGGAGCTCAACTTCCCAGTTCTCCAGACTTTTCATGTTCGCTGTGAAATGAAAGAAAGAAAACGTTTCGCAGGTTTTGTTTTGATTAATCGGTTGTCATTTGACTTCTCTCCTCAGAATGTGGCCGTAGCTTACATCGGCATCTTTGTGGGTGGAGACTACATGTTCTCATGGATTAACTTCCTCGGCCTCAGCATTTGGTGAGAATTTTACTATGGCTTCATTTTTCTATTGGTGTCATAAAGTCACATCAATAGAAATAGATTACCAAATGAAGCGCAAACTTTTATGAAGTTGTCTTTCAATCAAATATCTACTGCATAAATGAATTCTTTTACACATATTTTCTTGATTTATCTTGGCAAAGATCACTTTTTCACACTCAATTTGTCAAATTTATGTTGTAGTTTTTATAACAGTTTGGAAATCTGAGAGAAGAACATTTGCAAAATAAAGTTTTATTCTCTGCATGTCCCACAAACCATTGCACAAATCATTACACAACACAAAGCTTCAGTTGGCTTTCAATTTGGCAAAATAATAAAGGGCTTTTTACTTCTTTTTTTTTTTTTTGCTGACTCAGATCAACTCTGTGCAAAATCTGCATTGCGTATATCACACAGAATATTTTCTTTATCGCAGAATTTACCGTGTTTAAGAACCACATCTTACATGTTAAAACTCTGTTCTGGACTGTCAACTTTAAAGCAGTTGCTGGCATTCAAAATGAAAAAGAAAAAACACATTTTATTGTGACATTTTTGTGTTTTTATCTAATCAATAGAAAAACACATGAAATGAACACAGTGTTCTGATTTTGTGAAAATGGATCTCAACCTAAATTTCTGTTTTTCTTTTTTGTTTTTTTTAATGTCCTGTCCAACAGAGTGACACAGAATTGTTGTCTGAACCCAACAGATTTACTTTTCACAAGGGGAGCTATGATGCTTCACTTGATATATATAATATATATAAAACTTCACTACATTTTCTTTAAATCTAATGAACACAGAAAAAAAAAACAGAGGTGGGGAAAAGGTTTTAAGGGATAGAAGTAGAGAAAACACAAGACAACACCTTGGAAGTCTGTTTCTAGTCCTGCAGAAAGAGAGAGAGAAAAACAAACCCAAGAAACCACATTCCAAACATGTGTGTTATCACTATTATATATGAATAAGCTGTTTGTTGTTCTGGTTTCTTCTCGCTGAGAAGAATACGACACAAGTTGGGCGTAAATATAACATGTACCGTTCTCAAACAGATGAAGAGCTGCATAAAGACCCAGGTCTGGAGCACAAAAAGCCCTTTTGGACTTTAGAATGGCAGACAAATAACGACTGTTCTCAATCAGTAACTCAACAACCAGACTGATCCACGAGTTTGACTTAAAATGGAGGATAAATATTATTTGGATATGAATAAACATAAAAAAACAAAACCCTGCTTCATTATCTGGAAACTTGAGCATTTTCTCTACTCATCTGGACCTGGAAAAGTCATGTTCATACTTTTAAAGGCCATGTGGGGAGTGTATGCAATTCACGCTACATAAAATGTTCAGCTCATTTCACTCCTACATGCCATTTTCTTTGCAGCATGTCAGGAGGATTAGCCTACTCATACCTCACCTTCAACAGCAGCCAACCGCCCGGAAATAATGCAGAAGGATCTCAAGAGCAGAAGATTCTCATTCCTGAAGATTTATCAAGGAAGGACTGAGAAAAAGAGGAAACATTCAGCCACCAGGTGGCCTTATCCTGCTTCATATTGAAGCATTTCATTAATTCTTTATTGTCTCTCGTTTTGTACTATGAACAAATCTATTAACACCAAATAAACACAAATTCCCACAAACACATCTGTCAGAGTCAGTGAATGTTTATTGATGATCAACAATGAGATAACAGTGTGGACAGCCTGTCAAGAGTAAATAAAAACATCTACCAGCAAGCAGGATCACCCTCTACTGTCAAACATGAACACTGCTGAAGGATGTTAGAAGCAAAAAACTAAAATTAAACTTCAAAGCTTTCTGTAAATAGTGTGCATACTCATTTTATCTTCTAAAGAACACTATATTTATATATATATTAAATGCCTTAATTTACTCAAACCACAAAACAGACTAAGGGGTTGAAGCTCTTCCAAATATATTATCATTGGGCTCATTAAATCATTTGGATTTTTCTTCTTTTGGATTATTATTTTGCCTCTTTAAGGGGTAATTTGCAAACCAGATTGAAAGGGCACAGCTGGATTAAAACCAAAACAGAGGCAGAACATCAGTGAGGGGCTTCGTACAGTGTTAAAACGATGTAGTGTCACATTGAGAAAATTACAAAAAAAAAGAAAAGGGGGAAACATTCAAACCCACCCAGCAACACTCAAATCAGTTCATGAAAAATAAAAACCATTTCCAGAGCAAACAATGAATCAAATCTTTTCTGCATTGCAAGCTTAATCCGAGCCTCTCCGGTGTGGTAAGTGCTTCATCGTGACTTTGATGTTTTACAAACTTTGGATTTATGTCACACTATTAAATTATAATTCCAGCACTCAACTATGTGATGTCAGCAAAAAAAAAAATCGTACAAAGTGAAATAATATTTAAATGAGATGACAGAATTGCCACACTGCTATGATGCCATGTCAGTATCACATCTGGTCTGTCAGCTTTTAATATAAAAGACGACGACCCATCGAAAGGAAAACGTATTCTCACCTGCAGGCTTTCGCTTGTCACTAGACATGGGCCAATGTTTAGATTACTGTAACGAAATCCTAAATAAAAACACTATGGCATCTAAACTAATGTGACCCAATTTACTTCATTGAAAAAAAAATATATACATATATATATTATTTCTTAACCTACTGATTGTATTCATCTTTTTTTAATTTTGAGCTATAATTACAAGATAAAATATAGTAGTAATTTAGGTAGAACTATAAGCTAATAGCTGGCTAACTGGTTAAACTATTCAGGAAAAGAAATAAGTGCAATCCTTTTCTTTCAGCCAGTTAACTAGCAGTGTGCAGCATCTTAGGTGTGAGGTGAAAGGTGTGCTTACACACTGCTCTGAGTACTTACACACTTTTTAGACCCATCAGCCTGTAAGCTTTTCCTTTCCTTTAAAGACATTGCCTTATTGTTGTACTTGCTCTTTCCTTAAATAACCAAACTCCTTGTGTTATTTTTCATAGGAAATATTTACAAACTACCAAAATTGCCTTTCTCTAAAGCAAGAGTGGAAAATAAAGCCATGCTTCAGACAGCTAACAGGCAGCAGACTATTCTCGCTCAATGTTGGCACAATCCTAATGTGCAAGAATGTTTTTGTTTTATTTCCCAAATACTTCCTAACAGTTAGCTTTTTTTTTTCTTTTTTAAACAGACAAAAAATAATCTAAGAGCCCTTTTCCAGCCAGCTGATTGGCAGTGTGCATAATCCACACAACTGGAGAAATCCCATTTTGAAAACTTCAAACTTGTAGGTGTGACGGCAAATTGAAGCGTTTTTTGGGGGGGTTTCACACTGGAACTTTTTTAAACCTTTCTGGTGCCAACTGGCCCATGCCTAGTTCTGACAAGAAAAACTGAATTGTTAACAGAAACTATGAATCCAGAACACAGAACATAATCAACTACTTCGCTGGTTCTGCAGAACATGGCAGCATTTCGGGGCTGAGTTTGTATTTGTTTTTTTAAAACCTTCTGCATGATCAGACTTCTGGATTACGCTTGCAATGATTGGCTGTCATGTGCTTTGTTTTGTTCCTGCTCGCCCGGTTTGTGAACAGAGTAGTAACAGTGAGGCTAAGACTACTTCACTTCAGCTTTCTCCGTTCACCTGGGCCATCTGACAGCCGGATCTGTGACCACACCCTGTGTCATTCGGTCCATCTGAGCTTAATCCACACATATATATATATACATATACATCAGTCATACACTTATTCCCACAATATACTTAAAAACTCGTTACCAAAGTGCAAAACAAAATCAAATTAAAACATAATAGGTATTCTTCTTTTGCCTTTATAAGGCAGAGGAAAGAGACATTCTTCATGTTGTCAAACCTATGTTTATAGCAGCCAAAAAGGTAAAATGGAAGCCGAGTAAGGTGCTTTAGCTTGTGCCTTCCTGGTGCTGAGAGGGAGAGAGTGATTCTGTGCTTTAACACGGATCTCAGGCCAAGTCTGATTCTTTCTCAGTCTGGTTTTACAACTAATCTAGGCATTGATCTGCGTTTATGAAGAACTTTTAGCTACAGCATGTTCTGCAGGAAGGCGGATTAGAGGATCGGTGGGTGGGTGAGCGCTCAGGGCGACAGGTTGTTGGCCAGCTCAATGAGGGCCAGGGCGCCGTGGAGACGCTCTCTCTGCTCCTGAAGGCGCCTCTTGGCCGCACCGCCCTGGTTACCCTTCTCCTCCTCCATGGCCTCCGGCTCCTCTCCGTTCTCCTCGTCAGAGTGGAGGAACTCCATGGGATCCTGCTGCTCCTGGTCCTCTGCGCTCGCCTTGCTCTGCGGCTTCATCTTGGTGGTTGTAGGCGCACGCTGCTCGCGGGTTTGCCAGTACCTGGAGGAAAAACAGCCAGAAGCCATTTCAATACCATACACAAAGCCTATTGAACTGAAATGTGTTTCTTTGATTCCAATAAGTAAACATGTACCAACAGAAAGCCACTTCGACCAATTTTTGATCCACCATTTTAAAAAGACAGGGCAAAAATCTAATTCAATATGAAGTGTTTTCAGATCCAAATTCAAACTGCAAATTTGAATTTGCAGTTTGTACTTCAGGCCTTCTATTATGCTGCATACAACAATCAATAATGGGATGTGTGTAAGTAATAGTATGTCAAGTCGCATTAGGTCTAACACATCTTACCAAGCAGCATTTTCTTTTGAATATTTTAGATTTGCTCTAAGAAAAAAATCCACAGATAAGTAGGTTCTTCAAATAATCTAGATAAGTTCCACCAAAATATCAGCAAATACTGAAAATGAGTTTAGTTGGATGTCCACTGTTCACAACTGAATTAAACAGTGCAAAATTTAAGACAATTATTGTTTCAGAACTAAGACTAAAATAATACTAGTAATTACTAGTATTACTAGGGAATACTTTGAGAGAGATTATTAAGCTCCTTGAAGCAACTTTTGTGTTTTACGCCATCAAAGATGATCAACCTGACACTATGTTTGTCTGCTAAGTTTCTGTAGAGGGACTTTACTCACTTAGCCAGCCACTCTGCCACTGCCTTGTTATCCACAGACTGAGCCTTTCCCAGACTCGCCTTCGGTTCTTCTCTGTTCAGACGAGAGAAAGGATGCTTGGGGCAGTGACGGTTTGCATGAGTGAACCGACTGCCACATCCTGGATACAGAAAAAAAAAAGAAAGAAAGAAACATGAATAAACACATCTACAGTACTATGAGATCACTGATTTTGCATGGGAAGAATTAAAGAAGGTAATAATAGTAAATAAAGTTAATCTCTGTATTAATCAGACATGCAGTATCTACTCATATTGTGTTTTCAGGTACTTTCCAACTGACCCCCCCTTTAATAACACAGGAAAGTACCAAGAGGTGAATAAAAGTGAAAGTATGGGCTTGATTTAAAAAACCTACAAATTAATCTGTGAATCTTTTTTTTTTTTTTTAAGTATGTCTGACTCACCTTTCTCTGAGCAGACAAACGGCTTTTCGCCGGTGTGGAGCCGCTGGTGAGTCTTCAGCTGACCACTCTGGACAAACGCCTTCCCGCAGTTGGGGTAGTCGCACAGATAGGGTCTCTCTCCTAGATGGGAGAAAAAGAATAAATAAATGAAGAAAAAATGTTTTGCCATTTTCAGTACAAATACACTTTCACTTTTACACAAGCCAAGAAATATTTCCTGGTAGAAAACCAAAGACAGAGTTCCAAATTCCAGACTCAGATTTGTAATATGTAGGACATTAAATTCTTTATCTAAATCTGTTGCACTATGAAAAAGTTGCACAAATCCTAAAATAATGCTCTGCTCCTCGGCTGCTGATGCAGCATTGCAGTAAAGGGAAGTTTCACAACTTTCAAGTTTGATCTAGAGCAGAGTTTCTCAATTCCGGTCCCCAGCCACCGCTGCCTGCATATTGTGGATGCTTCTTTGTTCCAGAGCGTCTGATTGAAATGAATGCGTGACATCCTCTGTGCGCTGTAAAATCTTTGATCAAGAAGTGTGAAATAGCTAAAGATGCACTAATCGGGTTTTTCTCTTCACCAATAAAGATTTTTGTTGAGGTTCGACCTTTTGATTTTTCTCCATTAAGGACCTTAACATAATAAACAAGATGTGCTATAGGTGCCTTGATAGAGATAATAATTATTAGTCCAGTAGTAAATAAAAGTATTAAAAACTATTGTGAATGCATTATTGTGAATGCATTAACAATTAGGATCAAATTTAATCTCATTGGCAAACCAAATATAATGAAGGTTCGCACATTTTGATGCCTTTAATGAATAAAGAGAAAATATTTTCTTTTCTTTTTTTTTAGCATTTGACCTGCTGGTCATTCATCAAAGCCCGTGCAGGAAAAATTGAGATTTCTCTCTTTTATGTGATGTAAGACAAGCAAATATCCTGAACCTTACAGTTAAGCTAAAAACAAAAACATGTTTTCATATTGGACTATACTACCATACTACTAGTCATACTGCCATTTAAAACATGTTTGCATCTTCATCTAACAGCACTGCATCTGTCACACCCACCTGTGTGTGTTCTCTTATGAGCCTGCAGGGACTTCTCTCTGGGGAACACCCGGTTGCAGATGTTGCATCGGATCCGGCTGGAGGAGGTCTCCCCCTCGCTTATCAGCTCCCGCACCGTGTCTGCTCGGGGCCGGCCTCTCCGGATACCATCCTGACAACCAGATATAATCTAATCTTTAGTGCGGTCAAAGCTGGAGGAAGCTCATTTCAGCAGAACAGTGCCATGTGTTGTCCTGATTTTCCAGTCTCTTAGCTCTGGGTAAGGTCCTCCACTGAACTATTGCTGCCAATATCAATGACATTTAACCAGTTCTACCGGCTTACCTCTCTGGTCTATTTCTCTCCTAGACAGAGCTGATAACAGAGCGATTGATGCCTTTAACTTTTTATTCTACCTTTCATTCCAGTAGAAAATAGTCCTGGATCCGTTCTGTGTTTTTGTGCTCCTGCTCTCGACCACTAGTGGTATGTCTACTCAAGTTCTTCCAGGATCTGCTGGAGGTTTCTGGCTGTTTTAATTCAGTCATTCCTTTCCCCTGTTGCCACGTGCTTGTTCATATTGTTGGAAATACAGACGCATTTAGCCAAACTTCTTGGTACATAATCTACTATCTCTGAATGTGTTGTATTATAATTATATTATGATTCTGAATGTGGCTACATAACTATATTTGAATAGTTAATTATTTTATTTGGACTGATTTCAATGTATCTGTATATGAATTGAGCTCGTTTGTAAAGTTGAGATTTGCTGTAATTTGGCTCTATGCAAGAAACATAACATAATTATATAGGACAAAGTATCTTAGTGATTCAGGCTCAATAATTTTGTGACAAGGCTTAGAAGCCAAAAATACTCAGTTAAGTATTTTTGGAAACATATTATACCGGCATATATTTAACTAGTTCCATTTTGAACATCAGCCTTCAACACACATAAATATCCATGCGTTGTTTTCTGGATTTTTAACCTCTCAAATGCCAGCTTAAATAGTGCCAGCATCTAAAATCTGCAGGACACCAATTGCTTTTTTTTTTTTTTTTTTTTTTTTTTTTTTTTTTACATCTTAGTAATATTTTAGACTTTGTTAAAGAGGTCATTCCTGTGAATGGGCTCCGTGAAGAAGAGATTTTACCACCGGTGGATAAAATAGGAAAAATAAGCATCAAGTTGCAGCAGTGTGTTCAGAATGCATTTAAATATGTTACACAAGTCGATCCATTAAAACGTCAGTTTAGTCCACAACACCCATCAACTTTATCCCCATGTGCATAAACACAGCCAGCATTAAAAAAAAGGAAATAAAACCGAAGAGAAAACGTATTGCAACATATCAATAATTAGTTTCATTGTAACTCATTGACTTCCGGTTACATTTTTGGCGCGCGGCCTCACGTCATGTTTCAAGAGCAGCTGCAGGGTTTAAAATCCAGCATGTCACACCCTAATGCGCGGGCGTTTTTTAAATGACTCTCCATCTCGACCACATTCAGCATAAATAAAACACACACAGTTTAACCCCTTCCTGTCTGGGGTTAGGGGTCATTCTCTGTCTTTAGATGCTGATTTATGCGTCTCTGAACAAACATCTATGTGGCTACAAGTTGTTACTAGTTGCGATTTCTGACAAAAGAGCTGTGTCAACAATAACTCTAATAAATGCGCAGCAGAGAAAACAGACATCTAACAGACAGCATCGTGCAGTGTTGGGGCAGATATTTAAAAACAATCTGTTTACCTTGATCTGGTCAGGAGACGGAGCTGTGTCCGCCTCCCTGGTTGTCTGTGACCCGGTTGGGGACGCGGCCCCGCTCGCCGAGCCCGGGCTCAGCGTCACATTGTGGGCGTTTTCCCCCCATTTCCAAGGGTAGACCATGAAGTCGCTGAAACCTGGACTCGTGGGAGTCAGAGTCTCCACTTTCCTGGGTTTGATGGGAGTCTTGATGACAGAGACCAAAACTCTTTTGGGCGAGTCGTTGCAGAAAATGACGTGCGGATGCTTGCTGTCGGCCATTGCGAGTGCAGTAATAGTACACGTGCCTTAAAAACGCAAGTAAAACAGTTAAAAGTTGCTGTCTGCTTACAGAAAGAATCGATAAATAAGTCCTAAATGACGGGTCTTCAGTCTGGGGTAAATATGTCCTTCATTTCCATAGAGGTATGCAAAAAAGTATATATACTTTGTTACAGGGTATCCTAAAAGTTTCCGAGCAGAGAGTAACAGTCCCCTTCGGCCGGAACCGCTCCTCTGAACTGGCCGGTTGCGCCCACAAATGTATGGTCCCGCTTGCAAACTCCCGCCTGAGGAGTCTGCCATCCAATACGCTGGAGAAACCCATCCCCACGTGTCAGCAGCAGCCAATAGCAGCAATGTTCGCGTCAGCACCATTAGCCAATCAGAAAGAGAAACACTAGGGTATGCGCAGACCAGTTTTTGGCCAATGGAATTTAAACACCTGACGCGCGCTCTTGTAAGTTGACACCGATTTTGGCCAATGAGGATGAACAGGACGTGCAGCATAGCCAATCAGAAGGAAGAGCGGTTAACTTTATGTGGCAGATGGCTCCTTCCCGCGTTTAGGAGTCTGTTTATGTTATTACATGTTTTTTTTTTACTTTAAAGGGAACGGAAAAGGCCCAGAGGCGCCAAAATGACGTAATCATTTTAGGGTGGAAACAAAGAGTGCACTGTTTTAGGAGACTAGAAATCGAAACGTAAAGTTATAAGGGATTTACTAGAGAGAAAATGTATTTATTTTTTGGCTCTCATAAACTTTACTACTTCTGTATTTAAAAGATGTTTGTGTCATCTTCTTTATATTAATCAATATTACAACCTTTCATAGCTCACAAGCTCATTTTTAATTTCAAAGGCCTTTATTGGAAAATAGATACAATTTATAAAAACTCTCAAAAAGTTTCTAATTAAAATGGAGAACTGGATCAGGATCAGGAAGCATCACCCAGGAACACTTCCAGGGTTTCCTCCAGAAAACCTGCTGAGCCCGGTGGCTGGGGTCATCCACCAGAATTACTGAGACACTCAAACCCATGGTGGACCATGAAGGGGATAAATAAGACCAGAAACACCTATTAACTGATCTGGAGAGAAGCCTGGAGGTGGCGCTCTGGTGTTAGACCAGTGATGGTCTAACTGTCATGGATATACTGAGTTATTTTAGGAACTAAAGTCTCTTTGAGATAACTCCCTTCAGCTCAGCATTAATATGTCCTCTTCCAACAGAAAAAAAAAATCTGCTCGAAAAGAGAGTGAGCATCTTCAAAACGTTTGTCAACAGAGGGAAACCTGTGTCCTGCGTGAGTTTGTGGTGTTGGCTCTCAGAGCGCTGACTCCAGCCACAGTCTGTTTTGTGAATAATCTGATCGGTCTTTACCTCATCATCTCCTTGTAAACCATTTCTCTAACAAGATTTTTCTTCCACTAAACTTTCTATTAAAATACATAGTCTATAAACAGTCTGCTGCTTTAGTAGCCACCTTATGTGTTTAATGGATAACTGTTAAGTCAGCAGTCTTCCCTGTGATTGGTCACTAAAATATAACATAAAACTAAAGGTCTTATGTAATATAGTTTTCTAAAAACTAAATGAAATACTTTAAATTATCTTCTGGTTTAATGAGAAGCTTTGGTCAGACAGTAATTACAGTTCCTATGTATATATATGTGTGTCGTTTTTTTTCTAACCCCACACTTCTTCCTTCAAAAGCTGATTGATGCCGTCTGACTAAGCACAGAACAATCCAGGACGGGCTGAAAGCCATCTCTATGCAGAGCGTATTGATCAGTGAACAGCCTATTAATGAGCGCGAGGGCGTGGCGAGGCCTCCGCACGTGGAAACATTTAAAACCTGTCGATAAAGGCTCGCGCTGTTCTGGTCGGCTGCTGTCAGGAGCGGATGAGTTCAGTCCGCGGTTCGCTTCTCCTGTAGCTGGGCTTCAAAGCGGTACTCCCCATTTATTTGTTCAACTTTTCTTTTTCAAAACTGAACCAGCTTGTTACATGTTTTGTGCGCCTCTCTCACACAAACGCAGGCGGGGGGGGAAAAATGCTGCAGGACGCCTTCGGCTGCGTCGTGGTGAACAGGTTCGGGGATCTTCTGGACGACGAGGCCGATCCGTTCGACCTGATCAGCGAGGTGGAGCTGGAGAAAGAGAAGAAGAAAAGGAAGAAAAAGGAGGATGAGGACAAGAAAAGCAAGCAGAAGAAACCAGGCCTGAGGGAATCTCAGAGGAACAGGCGGCTGCCGGCGGCCCCAGGTGCTCTGAAGCTGGTCCCAGGTGAGCCGCATCACCGCGACAGACACAGGCGCGGCACAAGCTGGCAGACGCTGGTGTTTCTGGAGCGGATGTTGGCGTGCTCCGGCTGTGTCAGCTGTTGGCGATGCAAAGTCAGCGGAGCTGCTCGTTTGCTCTGTTTGGCTGCGTTTCCCATTTCATCTTTTCCACAGGGTTCTGTGCCGGCGCTGCCTGCATCAAACTGGTACTGCCAGAGGCGGTGCAAAGGTTAAGGACCCCGAGCACAGTTTGATTTTTGGGGCCCCACCAAACATACAAAAGTATTGCAAGCTTTTAAAGGATGCCAAGTTCATGTTTATATCAGGAGAGTGCTTTGAAAGCTAAAATTCTGATGCAATATGGTGAAAAGTTGTGACTCAAGTGTGTAAAAATGTCCTAATTTTTAAAATAACTATGGACATGAAATGTTCAAGTATCTTTGCATAACCTAGATAGAATATCCCAGGGATCCACAATGGCTCTCAATAACTTTGGCTAAAAAAGATTTAAAAAAAAACACTTCATATTTTTAAAAATCATTTAACAAATACAAACATTAGCAATTTCATAGAAAAATATCAGTAATGGTGTCATTTCCTCAAATAATTTAGCACAAATCAACATGTTGTCATCAGGGCAAAAGCAGCAGGAATGTCCCCCATTAGCAAAGGAGGACAGAGACTCCAGAGCCGAGACTCCCAGGACCAGGAAGAGAGGAGGCGCTGCAGGCCAACGGAGGCTGAACCAAGAAGAACCGCAGGAGTTTTCAATGCCAAAGTATGAAACGATTCATAGTTTCGTTGAGTTTATCGGTTTACGGTGCAAGTTTCTAAAAATTATTGCTCTTTTTATTCTTAATTTTCAATGTGGAATTCAAAGTGTATTGATCTTTAAGTAAATATGTATTTTCCCTACTAATTAGAAAAAATGTTTATTTACTTTAAGCATAAAACACATGTCCTATTCAAAATTATGCATCTTCTACTTATACAAGTTCTCTAAGTACTATGGGCAGCTTCAGACGTGGCCTGCACAGTTTGAGAAGCATTGCATTGAACTGTTGTTCTGGTTTCCAGGCCGTCCTATAACGAAGCCTCTGACTTCAGCAGCAGAGGGGGATTCACAGGCCGAAGAGGAGCGAGAGGAGGTGGGGGAAGAAACTCTGATAACTTTTATCTGCGAGGCAAGAGAGAATATGATCGACATGATGGAACGTAAGGATGTATATTCAAGATGCATTTGACAGGTTTAAGCGTTGTGGATGGTGGATCATAATGTAACGGTTGCAGAGGGATCTCGTCGGAAGAAAAGCGAAGAGGCAGAGGACTGTGGAACTGGGGGAGTGCTGTGGAGGCTCCAAGGTCAGTAAACTGTGGTATGTCAGTGCAGTACATGCCTTCAATTTAATGTTTTATTTTTCTTTTCTGAAGTGAAATGATGGAGGTGACAAGTGATGCTGGTGCCAAAGCTGAGGATCCACAATCAACTTTGGAGGAGGAGAATCCAGCTCGGTGAGTAAACTGTGTGCCCAAGGTTTTTACATGAAAACTAAGAGTAGTATAAAATGGGCTGAACTTGTTTGGCTCCACTTAACAGAGTGACAGATGAGGACAATGAGATGGTGGTCCAGGTTGCAATGGAGATGACCCTGGATGAGTGGAAGGCCATTCAAGAGGAGAAACGTCCCAAAGTGGAGTTCAATATCCGTAAAGCGGAGCATAAGATTCCCTCTAAAGCAAAGGTCATTCACCAGTCCAAGCACCTGGAGGTGAGAATCATGGGATGTTTGAAACTACAGAGCCTGAGTGGAGTGTGTTTTAATTACCCACATGCTTGTAGAAAGTGTTACCTTTTTATTGTAATCCTAAGCGGACGGCTTGTTTCTAGAAGTGTTTCTTTAGATGAACAGGTTCACCGTGAATTAGGGATGTGGTGGTTTGGGCCTAAAAGTATCAAAATTTTGTTGATAAAGTGGTATCGCTGCAGTCAAAGCCCCATAAACAATTACTGCTCTTGATATAATATAAAAAAAATCCATGGAATAATTTAGAGATATTTAAGAAGACTTCTTCTTGACACAAGATCAAAAGTAGTTTCTGAAAACCAGGGTATCTAATGCAGTAAAGTTTGAAAAGTACATCTGGTTTGGAATATGGGTGTAACAACAAAATCTGGATATGAATAAACACTACACTGACATTTACATTAACATGTAAAGAGATTTTACCATGATTTAATAACTGTAAATGTTACTGTATTGCACACCCAAATGTTTGGATTTTTGTAAATCTAAACATTTGAATGCAATGCATTTGCATCCACTTTTTCAGAACACTAAGGAGATGGTAGAGGAGATTGAGGAAGATGGAAACTTCTTTCGCAGGTCAATGAATGACATCACCACTCTCTTGGACATAAACTTTGGGAGTCTTGGACGTCCGAGTCGTGGCGGCCGAGGAAGGGGAGCTCGAGGTGGTCAAAGTGTTCGCCCAGAAAAACCCAGACCCATTTATGAAAAGGTATGTTATCACCTCCCACAACCAGATGGCCCCTAAATCATCAGTGTGTCTAATATTAAAATATTTTATCATGTAGATTTTATTCCCATCAGGCCTTTTTGGCCCGTGGGACTCCAGAAGCAGCTGAAGGGTAGTGGCAGGCGAAATGGCCTGCGGCTCGGGTGGTTGCTGAGGCAAAAACCTTAGGAGTGGGAAGAGTTTGGATACGCGTTTTGTGGACTTGGAAAAGATGTTCAACCGTGTCCCTCGGGGAGCCCTTTGGAGGTTTCTCAGGCTCTTTGATGTGGGCTATCAGATCCCTGTATGACTGGTGTCAGTCTGGTCCGCATTGCCGGCATTAAGTCAGGCTTGTTTCCGGTGAGAGTTGAACTCCGCCAGGGCTGCCCTTTATCACCGATTCTGTTCATTACTTTCATGGACAGAATTTCAAGGCGCTGCCAACGTGTTGAGGGAATCTGTTTTGGTGACCTTAGATTGCATTTCTGCTTATTGTGGATGATGTGGTCCCATTGGTTTAATCAGGTTGTGATCTCATGAGGATGAAGATCAGTGCCTCCAAATCTGAGGCTGTGGTCTTGAGCTGGAAAAAGTAGAGTCCAGACACGTCCCACCAGGAGAAGGCCCTGGGAAAGACCCAGGACACGCTGGAGGAACTATGTTTCTTGGCTGGCCTGGGAACACCTGGGGATTTCCCTGGAAGAGCTGGAACAAGTGGCTGGGGAGAGGGAAGTCTTCTGAAGCTGCTACCCCCGCGACCCGACACTGGATAAAACAGAAGAAAATGGATAGATTTTATTCTACCTCAAAACGAGTAGCTAATTTTTGTTTCCAATTCAGGAGGATGAGATGGCGCCTGATCCTGATGACCCAGAAGACTTTCCAGCTCTCACTGCAGGAAAATGACTGACTTGTCGCCTTCAATTAAACTGTTCACATTTCTGTTCTTAATGTTCTGTTGCACTTGTAACGCTGTTCAATAAAAGCTTTTGCAAAGTTACTTTTCATCTTCTGCTACAAATGTCTGGTAACAATGGCTCCATCACTTCCACATTTGGGGATTTCACCAAAATTTAGGTGCGTCTCAAACTGCCATCCAGTTTATTTAAAGATTTGCTTCCAAAAAGTTATACTTATGCTATCGGTTGATAATGATATTTGAGCCTGAGATTCAATGAATATGGCCTAGGCTAATGAAAACCTGTAGCTATAGTGCAGGAGGGGTAATAAGGTGTTGGGTGGCATGGGGATTTTTAGAGAAACTTTGTTTCCTGATTTGATTTTATGCTTTGAGAGGGTTGTGGAAAAGAATTTATTAGAGGCAAAAATTGTGTCCAGTATTGAATAGTTGTGCCTCCAAAAGTTTAAGGCATATAAATACCCAGGGATATTTAATTTCCTAAATGCAGTGTAATAAGTTTTGGGGACAGAAATATCCCCAAATGGAAGAATATTAATGCAGCCCACCATAGCTGTGGTTTGGGGGGACGGCCACTGTAACTAAGCATGTTGTGCAAAAACAAAGCTAGATTCATTTGGGAGTAAATTTATTTAAAATTCATATTTTTCTAGGATTATAAAGAGTAAAGGCCCCGTTGGGACCATTTCATGACATGATTTTAACAGTACAAAATATTTACAATATACAAACCGTATATTAAATGTTGACACATGTACAGCTTTGAAATCAAGGAGCTGAAAAGGTGAACAAATGACAGGCCTTGTCCAAAACATGCTGATTGGCAGTATAATGGTGCACAGTACCTCATGCTATGATTGTGTGATCCAATAATTTCTCAGCTTTACACTCAGCTTACACAATTAAAACTTAATGATGCAGTGTTTTTGTTTAAAAAAAATAAAACCATCTTGTTCTTCTGCAGTAAACGTTCACATCAAGTTGAACGTTTCTCCAAAAATGGTTGGATATCTTCGCATTTTTCCAGGTTCACAGGTTTACCGGAGAAGAGGAGCTCTAGCTTTGGGTATGGAGTGACTATGAGAGAAGAAAAAAAATACACAATCATTTAGAGATGTGAAGGAAAAACTATTACAAAAGACAGCAAATTGAATAGGAATGAGGATAGATACCATAGCCTGGAAAATCTAATTGATTGCAAAGAGCTGCGAGCTTTACGTCCTCGTGACACAGCGGGTCTGTTGTGTGCAAGAAAGACGAACAGATGGAAAGGTGAGCATGGCAGTGGAGCACAAGTAAAGGATGCCAAATACAACTACAAATGGCTGATGGCCAAAGGCAGATCACAGTGAGCAGCAAAGTCTAGAAAAAACCATAGCCATTCGAAATCTAAAAGACGCTGACGAAGAAACGGGCAAGAAAAGATTCAGAAAGTTGCAGACGAGAGACTTCTGCACATTAAGAGCTTACGTGTTGGCATGAGACATTTTAGAATTTGTAGGCATGTTAGGAAGAGATTTATACTGTACAGTACAGAGGAAATGTTTGCATGATTAGTGGAATCTGAGAAGCCATTTTTTCCCTAACTCCTCATTTTCAATCAGGGTAAAAAAAGATCATATTTTATAGATACTCTGTTAAATTAGCATTTTCATAAATTCCAACATCATTGAATTTATGATGTTGGAATTAATTCAGGAATTAATTTCAAAAAGTGAAACTCAGATTCATAATAGACACTAGATACATTTGAAGTACTTATTTATTTTAGATTATTCTGGCTTGCAGCAATTAAAAGTCTATAATTCAGCTTCACTGAAAATTAGACAATTACACAAGGACAGAAAACTTAATGCAAAAATGTGGACAGAGAGTGAAATGTCAATACACAGCACAGTATTTGTTCTAAATACTTTAATGGGGCTGTTTTTGCATGAACTACAGCGTCACCGCAGTCTGGCATGGAGGCGTTAAATCTGTGTGTGGGTCCGACTGGTGTGGGCTTTGCCCCACAACCCTCCCAAGGCTGCAGCTACTGATGTTGATTATGTTTGTTTCTCTTCCACACTTTTCCTTCCACTTAACTTTCCACTAATATGCCCTCGGTTAAGCACTTTGAACAGCCAGCTTCTTTAATTTTCTTTTCTTTATATTCTTTAGTCTTCTGTCACGTAATTTTCTGAGAAAACAACTTTTGGGTTTGAATCATTGTGTGTAATTAGTAGTAGCATTAGCTAGTTTCACTTTTTGACATAATTGCTGAAATAAACTTTCAGTGGTGGGCTATATGAGTTATTTGTTCTCGTAGCTCGGGCACTGCGCAGCAAATCAAAAGAAAAGAGTAAACAGAGTCTCTGGACTTCTGACTAGAGAAATCTGCTTGCCTGCAGGTGTCCCTGTGCTGCGTTTAAGTTGTTGAGGGCGCCTGCGTTGGCTCTGACACTGACCGTGTCTCTATGGCTGCCACACGGCTCACAGAACATTGGGTCGCTGTTGCCAGCCACTACATGGAGGTTGCCTAGGGACCTGACCAGCCTGGTTTGGCTCAGGGAGCTGGTAGAGAGAAGGAAAGCTGTTAATGTACTCCACAGGGATCTACAGCGTCTTGCAGAAGTATTCATACTTTCAAAAGTTAACTTTTTCACATTTTGTTGCAGCTAGACTTCTAAGCGGTACTTACTGGAGTTTTATGCAAAGTTGTGGATAAGTGTAAAGCTGAAGGAAAGGCATAATTTTAAACATTTTTGAAAATAAAATTTTTGCAGCTGTTCTGCGAAAATCTCACAGTAGGTGGAGCATCAGCATATTTACAGCCATGTATGGGACAAAAGAAAAACAGTGTTTTTACCAGACGTGTGCAAAATGAAACATTTTCATCAGCAGCACATCAACACTACAATGACCCATGACGGAGGAAGCATCATGCTGTCAGGATATGTTTCTTTAGCGAGGAAAAGGAAGCTGGTCAGAGTTGGAAAACAAGTTGACGTTTTCTTCAAGCTTGCAAGCTGTGGGAGAAAGTCTCTGCTGGAGCAAAGTGGTTGAATGAGCTCCGAATGCCTGAAGACAGCATGAACAGCTGCTTTTTGCCACAGATTCCACGGACATAAAAACATGAAAACCATGAACCATCCTAGTCAGTTGAAGGCACAACAGGCTGCTTGTTCATAACACTCTTGACATGAAGACAGTGTTGCAGAACAGAGACTGGGAAACTCACCCAAGGACAGATGTAGTTCATGCGTCTGAATGAAGTATACTATGTTTTCCCATCCAAGAGAATGTGACTGAACACACTCAATGAATGTGTTTCTTGAGAGAAATGGGTTTTGTTAGAAACCTATTTCTAACAAATGAAACCTGAAATGAAACCTGACAAAAGGATAGTCTGGGGTAGAGGTGCACCTTCCAGCCAGACCAGGAGCCCAAACATGCAACAAGAATTACAATGACATGGTGTTGATCTGAACACATTCATATTAGAATGGTCGAGTCAAAGTCCGGGTCTAAAGCCAACTGAGAATCTGTAGCATCACTTAAATATGCCCTTTACAGGACCTCTCCATCCAGTCTAACTGAGCTTGACCTAAGTTGAAAGTTGGTGGAGATAAACTCTTCAGCATGAGCTACAACCAGTCAGAGTAGCAGAACACAACTGCAGCCTACACCTTTCAGATTTTTATTTGCAAGACATTTAGAAAACCATGCATTCTTTTCCTCACTCTGCCATTATCTGCCACTTTACTTTGGTCCAACACGTTAAATTGCACTGAAATGTGAAAAAGTTTGATGAATAACAGTGAAAGACGCTGTGCGAGTGGCTATAGCCTCTGGATTTGCTCCTCAACTGTGTTGTTGCCACATGAAACAAAAACTATGAAACACATTCATGGTACTCTTTTACATAAAAAATACAAATACCTTCAGATGATTTTCTTAACAGTTTATGCAAATATGTGGTTTCAACTGCATGGATTATCTAATTTATGTTTTTTCTATCGATGAGAAGACATTTCCTGCATCTCCTCATTGTGTTACATTGGTTAATGTGTTAGGAATCAAACTGACCTTCCTCCTACTCCGTTAGCTGGCAGAGATGCTCTGGTCCTCTTCCTGCTGTCTGAGCGGTCAGACAGAGCCAGGGCGCTGACACTGGTCTTACAGCCCTCAACACTGTCCTGTCTGATCACCCTGCACAGCACACAGATAAAGCCACATCTGTTGGTCAACGCCATCTTTCATGTCTTAATTATATGAGCTGCACATTTTACCTGAGGGACTGCGAAGACGATCTGGTGTTTATTTTGTTCTCTTCTTGTCTGCAAAGATATGCATAGTGTGACATAAATCTCTGGGAGTTTGAATCGGAAAATAAATGACTGATTTGAGGGTCAGAACGGGGGGACGCTGCATAGAAACTAGCAAAAATACATTCAAATTAATGAAGCCTTTTGCATTTAGCGGGCAGGCAGGTTATGTTAGTAAACTAGAAATAAATCAATGGAGCAAAGTCTCGTCTTAATAAATACGATTTAACTGACAGTTTGAAGCCAACACAATAAACAGCAAAGCATGGCAAGTTGACAGGAATGTCTATGGGAATAAATCATTAAAGAGGAAAAATGGTGACAAGGACATTGTGTGTGATTGAAAAGAAAACTAGCTCTGCTGATCGGATTTAAGATTCAACAAACGACAGCATAAAGGAAGAGGATGATTCTGAACAAATTTCTAATTGGGGTTGGGAATTAGAAGAGACCAGGGGCTCACTTACAGCATTTCTCAGTTAGAGCTCCAGAAGGAGGGGCAGGACAGGTTTGGGGGGGAGGGGGCGCTGATGGGCGGCAGAACTCAGAGAAATCCTAACCCGTCTATACAGAAATGCAGGATGGAAGAAGGGAAGCCATACACAATCCACCACAGGGCAAGGCTACACAGGGAGAGCAGCATGGCTACCAGCCATCTGAAAGGAGGACAAATCCAACAACAAGAGCAAACGGGGGGGAAAAAAAAGGAAGGAGAGACAAGAGACGTCTGGGCAGGACACAAAGCCTCTCATGTTGTGCTTTTCCACTGGGACTGGATTAGATGAAACACCCTCCTTCACAAAGTCTTGCATCCAATCGTCCCACACGGCTGGAGTTTGTTCTGATATTCTAACATTGCAGACATTGTTTAACAGCAGTCGACACCCGCACGTCCCCTTAAATGACTCGAAGTGCAGAAACGAATTGAACATGACAGTATATGTATTTCATTACACAAAGTAGACTATTATAATTGTCAGACTTCTCAACCAATATGAAACCCAACAAGAATTTAGGAACAGTTGAAACCAGATGTTGACATACGCTGTATAAAAAGAACATCTTTATTTTGTCACCACTGGATGTTAAATCCGAACTTTTCTTGTGTAAGGTAAATTATGAATACCAACTGTTTCTGTTTGTTAAATAATAAAATATTACAATTTCTTAAAACTTATAAATTTTTCCCCTTGAATTGGATTACAGGACCTGTTATGTCTGATTAAGCATTAAACAGTCAGTGAGACATTTTTTTCTCCTTACACAGTGTTGTGACAACACATTGTATTTCAATCAATCATGCAGTCAATCAATTTTATTTATAAAGCACCCGTCATGTTGAATGCTGGAAACACGTAATAAAGGGTTTTTCTGTACTGGGTTTGAACTGTTCAGGGTGACAGTCTGCAGGTTACAGATTTGGGTAGTAAACTGAAACTGTTTGGATACTCCCTTTTTTTCCTCCCCTCTTTGTAAGCCTGCTGGTGAATATTAAAAACGATGTGCCTTCATCTTTTCTTCACTTCCCTGGATTAGCTAGAGGAGTCACTGCTCATATTCTCTGCTTAATGTCTTAATAAAATAATAATCAAAATCCATTTTGATTAATTCTTGATTGACTGAGTGTTTCACCTTAGGTTAGACTTATTTATTTTCTTAACAACAGTTTATGCAACTATGTGGTTTCAACTGCATGGATTATCTAATTTAATTTCATGAAACTGCCAACTTCAACAGAAGCTGACAGAGTTGGAAACCTGCAGGAGTGAAAAGCTCAGGTGGTATGTGAACACCGATCCAGTCATAAAGGCAATGGAAAAACAACAGGCAATCGACAGTGACTCCAGCCTAACATTATAACATGTCAGACACAAACAGTGATCGAAACTGAGGCACAGGCATGCATGCGTTCCCAATGGAGTTCAGTACTTTATGTCATGCATGGAAAACGGCAGAAGAGATGGGCAAAAGTTTGGATAAGCATTCTTCTAATTGTCCCTGCAATTGAACATGCGCTGCAGTGTTATGCAACAAAACAATGGAGCCAGACGGTGAAATTCAGCCCTGAATTATGTCTGTACAGCAGGATATACATTGATACAGCATATACCCTAAAAAGTGCAAGTAAACCTCCTGTTCTGTCTCAACTTCCCCCTGAGAATGCATGAGAATCTGCTTTTAACTCCAATTCACCCTCAGAACTTTATGCATGATGTTTTGTGATTAACTGTCCTTACACAACCACAAATAAAGCCATAAATCAAACTAACTACAATACGGTATACTTACTTTAAAAGGGAAAACCTACAGCTAAATATTTGGTGCAGGAAAATGACCTAACTGACCAAAAAAGGAAGTAGCTACAGCAGGTTTTTATAAAGGCTCAAGTGTTTCTTAACAATTTTATGAGTAGTGCCAAGTCAGCAGTGCAAGCCAAGAACCAAAACCTTCAGTTCAGCTATTCCAGATCTTATTTATATCTGGAATCAGTTGAACAACTGGTGCTGCTAGTAAATACAGTGGACTTTATTTATAGGCCCTAATTGACAGAAGATATCTGGGATGCAGTGCCTTGCAAAGGTGTTTGTACAACTACAACATTTTCACTCTGTCACGTTGCAAACACAAACTTCAATGTATTTTACTGAGATTTTATGCAATAAACAAAATCACAGTGTGTAAAAGTTAAATGGACGATTAAAGCTATAATGAGTAGGCACTTTGTAGAACCACGTGGAACCAACTCTTTAAGAGGATGTCGAGTTTTTGAAAACCTTCCTGCCAATTCTTCCTTGTAAAATCAGTCAGACTGAAGCACAAACAACTTGACCTACATTTGGAGTTTGACTGGTCCTTATTAACACACTGACTGATATGTTGCGAACCATTCTGTTGTAGCTCTGGTTGTAAATTTGTAAATTTAGGGAAACGACCCTCCACCCGAGTCTTATGTCTTTTATTAGCTTCCAGCAAGCTTTTTCCCCCAGGATTGTCCTGTTTTAAGCTCTAGCCATCTTCACAAGAACTCTGAAAAATATCCCCACAGCATGATGTTACCTCCACCATGTTTCACTATTAGGATGTTTTTGTCAGACGATGTGCAGTTTTAGTTTTGTTGTATTTCCCTTACATGGGCTTTTATGGCTCTTTCTCACAGAAATTTTCAGTGTCATATTTGGTAGAATGAAAAAGGGCTTTTAGTATTTCTCTAATGTCTCTAAAATCCCATTGAAGTTAGTGGCTATAAAGTGACAAAATTCAGAAAAACATTTGATGGTTTGGAGAACCTCTGCAAGTGACTGAATGCCTTTATATCGAAGCAGAGCAGCTAAGTGCGTCCACCAGCCAGACAATGGAAGGCGTGTAAATGAAACGCATTCACTAAGTGCATATCCACTTAACACCATAGTAATTCAAAGAAAGAAAGGGGGGAAAAAACAACAACAACAAAAAAAAAAACAAGATCAGCCATACCATTCATTGGCATAACAACCATCTCTACAGGAAGAGGATGTAAGCTGAAAAGGAAGTGACGTGCACTTACCTCCTTCATACAAAACCTCACATCCTCTTTCTCTGCCCACTGTCCCTCTCTCTGCCTCTCTCTGCTACCTTTTGAACGGCAGGCAACACATCGGCCACGCCGTGCCCATGAGGCTGCAGCAGAACACTACCACCTGCCTGACATGGGACAACAAAAGCCAAAGCCATATGGGTACATGGACAGAGGCTGGTCAACCATCCTCAGCATGGCTGACACCCATCCTTCCACAGCTCTATTTATACGGCCACAAATGATGTGGAGTTGGACGTTTTTAGAATATTTGATTGGTGGAGGGAATGCGTTGACAGCTATTGCTACATTAGTGCTTCTGCTAAAGCTTGCATGCACACACTTCTATATTTATCTACTGTAAAAACCACAGTTAGAGAGCTAAAGGAGGTCATTATGATGCCACTCAGTGACTTTTTAAAGCTGTGAGCTCAGCAGTTAGGGCCTATCAGAAGAAAGGAGTGGAGATGAGTTAAAAGCAGATTGTTTTCTTCACTTTATGCTTACAGATTACCCTCCTGGTGACAATAGAGAAGTTACAGTTAAATGGAAAATTTAATAAGTTTTGAATCTGGATCAAACTGTCCTTTGGTGGAAAATGCTGTAGAAGATACTGAGCCACACAAGTTTAATGGTTACAATTAAACACAAAGACAATGAGCAGCAAAAATTGATTCTTTAAAGCTGTCATGCTGGCACTGATCCTAATGTAACATAGTCAATTCAATTAAAAAAATACAACTAAGTTCTTTTTATTTTAAGAAAGCAAAAAGAAAAGATTGTTTATTACCCATTTCTTCATGTAATTCTTCCTAATGTCATATAGCCCTAGCTTGGATGGAGTATTTGGTCAATTACTATATTTCAAGTGAGATCTGAGATTAATATTATGCATGTCAATAATAATTTGACCTATTGGAGGCACTTTCACTGCCAGGTTTTACTGGCCAAGATACTCATGGAGAGTGGTGGGAGCATGTTCAAAGAAAAACAAAAACAAGAAGAAGAGTCACCACAATGTTTGTCACCACAATGTTCAGCAGTAATATCAAAATTGCTTATACTGTGCAGCTGCTTTACAATAAAATGCAAGTAAAGATTCTAGAATGTAGGAAAAAATATTGTTTGTTGACATTGTAAGGTGTTGGTAGAGTAGCTGAGGCTTCGCCCTGGTTAATGTTTCCCTAATCTAGACATCTTTATACTTGAGTGTCCCTGCAGAAGGCAAATAAAAACCTTTCTATGTGCAACAGAGTATTTTTTACTTAAATATTTAACTATACGAGTACTCCCAGTCATGCAGCTTACTTCCAAGTCTAGCCTTTTAATTTACTGAGGGGCTTTTACATAATGAACATCTTGACTGAATAACACAGAGACAACGAAGCTCTAGAATGTGTCCTCTCCCTGCCCAATCACCTCCGAGAAGGGGAAACAAAATTGCTTTGCAACTGGTCTTTAACTTCCACATTTTTTGTTCCATTTTAAATCCGAGTTCTTAGCAAATAAGTTGTTTTAACTGGAAGAGCGAGTGTCAAACAACTGTGTCCATAACTCTGTTATAATGTCTGAGCAGCTCCTGTCTTGATGCATCATTCATCCCTCACTAATCACAATCATAGCACTGTAATTCACTAGATCTGCATGCCATAGCATAACTTTTTTTTTTAAAGTTACATTTGACAACATCACAACTGCTATGAAATTTGCATTCTAGGTCAAACAGAGGACTGTTATGATTGCTGCAAGCTGGTTTAAAAGGACAGCTGACTGTGCCAGGAAACCACTGAGGAAAAGAGAAGCTTATCAAACTAAATGAAGATGAAGTAAATTAAATATACGTGGTCACTTTCTGGTCTTCAAAGCATAAGCTGTTTATGGTTTGAAAAACACTTGAGTACACATGTAATGATCTGACATGGAAAACAATCTCTTATTTCACTCTATTTATAACACACATGGGTGAGGATGCATGATGGGGCTTGCGGACTGCGTGGATACTTACGACAGAGAACCTGAAGACGACCTGGCCTGCCGCTTGCTCTTCAGGGCTCGTAGTTTATCGCCCTGGGTGACGCCGTTTCTCTCATCTTCATCATTGTACTGCAACACAAAGATGTTTGGCAAGGAAAGTTCAACATCCTCCTATTTCATTTCCTACAGGTTGCAAAACTGTCGTAAAGCCGACAGCTGCACAATCATATTTTAATCTGAACATGATAAAAGAGGCGTAGAAAACTCACCAGCTCTATTTCTTCTTTCTTGGATGCCTTGTTTTTGTTGCTACCGTTGATTGTGATGTCATCCACTCCAGACAGGATCCTGGTCACTGCCATCTTGCCGTTTTCCCGCTCATTCAGCTTCTTCTCCCGGAAACCATCTCCCTCTGCCCAGAGGGTGTTCTGCTTCCTGATGACGTAAATGGAGGGCAAACCTCAGCTGATTTGTTTTCTTGCCAAATCACAACCAAGTGTTCTGCTTTATGTTTCTCGTAAAACCTGTCCGGACACAATAATCCTTTGAAACAGCGTTTGCCATTATGATCAAACACTGGCTTCCAAACAAGAGCTGTCACTCAAACGTGGGAAAAAAGACGCACACAGGAACACACGCAGACCTGATTCACCAGAATACATGCTGTCCTCCAAACAGCAACAATACAGTGAGTTATTGGAAATTAGAGGTGGAGGAGTAAATATCAGAAGTCAGCGTGATTCTTTAACCGCATCAGCTCCAATAATATCACACAGGGAGCAACAAAGAAGAATACAATGCTTGGAAGCTTCATGTGAGTTGTTACTCACAGATTGCCAATATTTTTAGAGGATATGTGTCCCATTTTACATAAATGGCGACTTATCAAACAAATCATGGGCCTAATACTCTCCACAGAGGACAGACAAATCCCAGCCACGATGAATTTTTCTGTTTTTTTTCTGCCGATTGAAACTGAAGAGATAAGTTTCATGGTGGATTTAGAGAGAAAAAATAAGCTATGGATCATTAAAAGATTGTCTAATGTAAATAAACTGGTAAAACACAGTGTGTCAAAGCTTTTTTCATAATAAATACGTGTGTATTGGAGCATAATAATAAAAACCAGCTCAGTGTTTGCTTTGCTTATAGTATTATGTTGACAAAACATGCATAATATTTCCGTCATCTTCATTGTTCCCTCTTCCTTTTATCTCGTTTACTAAAAGTAACAACTGTCTCCTTGTGGCAGACTTTTCCACAATGTATGGACAAATGAGTGAGGGAGAGAGCGGACATGGATGCTGGTCGAGATGTGTTGTTTATCCTACTTGGCATTCAGCATGGTGTGTGTATCTCACCAAGTAAGGAATTAAATTCTCTACTGTATGAACAGAGAGTTTCAGGCAAAATTCATTAAAACATAATGCCTGATTTTTATAATGTAGAATTATCATGTCAAAAGACACATCTTAATTGGGCATGCAAACTGATGGATGTTGCAAAATCCTGTCTTGTTGTACAGATACCTTAAAGCTTCCTTGGTAACAAAGACTTTGTTATGTTCTGTGTCCCTGTGAAGTTTATAAACCTTGTCAAAGTAAAAAATTAAAGAAGCACATTTAATTCTTTTTTCCTCCTTAAAATCTGGGTTGCATAAACACCTACTCTTCTACGAAGTTTTGCTGTGGTCCAATGATGGATCCTGGCCGGCAGATCCGTATCCATGCGATGGCCTCCGCTGCAGTCAGGCCGTAATGTTTCATCATATAACAGCCGATTAGCGTACCGGTTCTTCCCAGGCCAGCTGGAAACAAAAGCAGTAGAAGCATTGCAGTAATCTTCATAAGACAAACAATGCAGAGCGGAGCAGCTATCAAGATGCTTCAGAGTAGAGCCTTTACCCTTGCAGTGGACCGCAATAGCTCCCTCTGCGTTCTCACAGATGTTGAGGAACTTTCTGACGATGGTGTCGTTTGGTGTGCTCCCATCTACAAAGAACAGGTCATGATGCTCAAAGCCTGAATCTGTGAAACGTCTTGCATCGTACATCTTCTTGTTGAGTCTGATGACAGTGGTGATGTTGTGTTTTCTGAAGTATGGGATGTAGGCCTCGGGAGCATGTAAAGGGTACCCTGCAGGAAAAGGAGAATATTAAAGCCAAAAGGCTTCTGTATGCAACCGATACTTGACCAATACTTGACCGATACTCTGCATAATCACCATTTTCTATCTTGCTTTTTGGATGAGGGCCACTGAACGCGAGGAACTTCCCAGGAATTATCCAGTTAAAGTCTCCGTTCTCCGCCCTCTCGTAGTGCTCGTACTCTTCCACATCAAAGTTGGAGAAGTCCAGCCAGCCGTACTGCACAGCCTAAAGGAAGGTGACAGGGATTGCATTTCATTTAATCAGCATCATGGCGTCAGAGGACAGAAAACTGTATTTATTGTTCATTTCCATACTTTGTGAACTCCACGCAGGCAGTCCAGAATGTCCAGATTGTACATGCAGGTTCCAAACGAGGCGTCTCTGTGAAGTACAGAAACAAAATAATGAGACCGATCTGCAAAAGCATCCTCTTTGATTTAGTTCATTAAAACATTTTATCTGGCCTGTGTGTGCAACAACACACACACAACACGTTTGACCGTACGCTGCATAATCACCACTGAATATCATCAATGGAATATCACCTAATTCCAGAGATGACATCAGATCTCCTGATTTTATTCTCTCTTTATCTCATTTTCTAATGAAACAATCTGTCTCATATGGATCTTTGACAAGACACTTTAAAAATCCTTTATTTCTGCTCAACAGACACAGAAATGGAAGAAATTCAACCAGCAACATTAAGCCTCATTTACACATTTTTATGTCGAACATTCTCACCTCTCTTTAGCATCAAAAGAAAACATTTGGAACTTAAATGTTCACCTTTTTTTTTTGTTTTAAGGGAACATCCATGTTTTGGTAGAACAATTTGATTTTAGTTAAATATCACATGTTGGAATGAAGTATATGTGATCCACGATTCTTTCTACAGTAAAGCATAAATTTATATCTCTTTACAAAGATGAAAGTTTAAAACATGCCTTTTCATGACAGGGACCTTTAAAGAAGGTTTGGAGGGAGTACTGTATGATGAACCTGCTAAAAGTTTCTCACTTGCAGCAAATTTCCAGCATTTTATTCCAGTTTATTATCCTCTTTCAATGCATCCTCCTCTGAAGTTATTTTCTGTTAACCTTTATTACATAACAGAATTTCTGTTTCTTTGTTGGTCAACCCAGCCACCCATCCTGAAAATCCCAAATGTTTACAGAGTTTGCATGCAAAAAGGCATACAAATTTTCTCCTTAATTTAAGGAATCTGGGCCTGCCAATTTCACATCATAGAGAGAGAAACAACTTTAATGCCAACAAAAAAAATCACCTTTTGTTTTAAATTATCTGCTTTAAAATACATAGTACTTTGGGCACACAATTGAACAGATGTAATGCTAAAACAACACCTGTTCAAGAACAATAAAATGGTGACTTTTTACCTGAATGGAAGATAAGATGAATTCCTGGATACCAGCAGGTTGTAGGCATCCTCTGGTGTCATGTTTAGATGCATCACCTGAACAAGACAAGGATCTTTTCAGCATGCACTCTCTTGTATTGCATATCAATTTTGACATTTGACACCCACCCACACCTACAGGAAATATGCACATTTGTGAAAAACTTACTGCGTACGATCCTATTAGATAGGCAGCGTTGGCTTGTTTTTTCTGATCCCCGCAAGTAAAAAAAATGATCTTCTTCCTCATGAGTGTAATTGACTGTCCAAAACATGGCAAATAACAGAAGAGATGTTAAATTAATCTCACTGACTACATTATGAAGAACACAGAAGTTGCGTAAACTATTTGGTTTTATCGCCCTGTTTGTCACCCAGAAGTTATCTTACTACACAAAAACAGATAACTTCCCTAATAAAACTGTGTTTTTATTTAAGCTCTAACATCTGCTTACATCATCAGAAATGGTAGCGATTAAAAATAGGCGAGATAATGATTAAATGTTCTAAAAACACTATTAAATTACAGGTGCAGACATACTAGATCCTGCAGGTATAACTGCCTCAGCAAGTGGCTCACAAGCACCATTGCTGACAATAGTTGTAAAACAACCACCACACTAAAACACAGCAAATCCGCCGATTATACAGCCCACTGCAAGTATAAATAGATATTGACTGGTCAATGTTTTCTTTTCTATTCTCCTTTTCCAGGAAGTGTAATTAATTGCTGCAGTTTACTTTACCTTGAGCTTCTTTGTCAGCTTGCAACAGAAGCGATAAAACATGGCCAGGTTAAGGGGACCAAAGTCCGCATAGAAGCTGTGAGAGGCAAAGAGAGAAGAAAGAGAGTGTAAGAGTGGCTATTTATGCAGCCAGCCTCCGTCCCTGGGGAAGCTTCACAAGATCGAATCAGCGCCATCAGGCTTACAGCGAAAATACTGACCGGAGTAATGAGTATATATGGAAGCTTCCAATGATAGAGTGTTTCAATTAAAAAAGGAGAAAAATGTAATTTTTTTTTTCTTTTTTTGGTACTACTGATATGGACCCCACGTCAGCTGTGTCCTCTCAGGGACAAGACCTGGAACTCCAGCAACAAAAATGCTCTCCTAGTTGCTTTAAAAGCATTTTATTCCACCAGCAGAAAAGGAGGTTGCAACCTGTTTACATTATTACATTGTGGACAGCTTTGTAGTAGTGAGATTTTCTGGATACTTTCACCACAGAATTCCCAATCTGTTTTCTGTGTTTTTTTGTTCCTTTGTTAAATATAATTAAACAATTGTATGTAATGTGGACAACAGGAAAAACATGCTCTTAAATGTTACTCAATGAGGTTACTGTCTTTCCTACAGTATTTGTATTTTGTAACACATCATAAGGTTAAGTATTAAAACTATGCTATGAATAAAACATGGAAAGTTTTATACTGAACACTGTTTAGTTCATTACCGAATAATGGATTGAAAAACAATAAGAAATATGTTTAAGAAAAACAAATGAATATCTACCATCAGTAGTTTGGTTCATTATTTTGGTCTGTTCTATTCCTTTTTGGAAATAACAGACAATTAAATTAAGCTGTTTGTGAGATTTGAGCAGTTAAATGCAGAGGCCACAATAATAAATACAGTAATAGGAAATGTGTTTCTAAAACACTTTCAATGTAGGTGCTGTGTCGAAAAAGACAAAGGACAAAGTACATGAAGCTGAAAAAACCCTTAAGAGTAAAAATCAATAACCAGAGTAAACATAAAACTACTAAAACCAGAAATTTGAATTTACATTAAGAATAATGAACAATGTAAAGTGCAGTAAACATCACCTGAACATATTTCAGAAATACAACTCTGCTACATGGAGCAATTATTATATATATATTTTAAATTATGAGGGCAATATAGTTCAGGGAAAACAAATTTCTCCATGTTAATTATTTTTGTCCATATATCCAGACCTGAAAAAAAAAACATGAACCAAATTCCTTTCTGCATAAGTAGGAACACCTTAAGGTTAACTCTCATCAAAGAAGTACAGAGGTAAAAAGCTGGTGTAATTATATTTTTAGATTTTGAAAAATGAGGACAAGGTTTCAAAAACACTGTGTTCATAAAACTGATTGTTTTCTTGACAGAAATATCTTTTCAACAGGAACATGTCGTAAAGATGTGCAGTAATTACTGTAGAGTGCTCTAACAATCTGTCCAGGAAACCTGGGAGATCTCCATAGAAATAAATAAATGTAAGGAGGACAGATCTCTCTTCACCCTTTAAAAACGGTCTTCATTTAAAGCATGTTTTTCTCCAGGATAATGAAACAATTGAAAATGTGCATTTGAGAGAAGAAAAAAAAAAACACACCCTAAAACTAAGGGATGGCGATACAACTCAGTTCATGGCATGTTTGTTCAAAAACAGAAGCAAAGAGAACCGAAGCGACTGTAGGTGTTGTTTAAGAGCGGGATGTTTTTCAGGTGATACAATGTTTGAGTTTTGTTGTTTTCTGGTTGGCTTAGCAATATTTCTTTTCTCTGTGTCTTGAGTCGAATAAGGAAGTGAATGTTTGCTGCTGTGTATTTACACTTCTTGTCCACTTCGTTACATCTGCCATGTATCCTTACTTCACTTAATTAAATGGAATCTGTAGCTTGTCTTTGGTGGACACTTTTATGAACTGACGTCCAAGTTCACCATTTCCAATGTAGCGTCTTCATCTCTCTTGGACAACTTTGACTTGCACAGACTTCACTTTGTCACCTAGTTCTTAATTTTAGAATGGAAATTAATAGAACTCCCCCTAAATACACTTGAAAATAAAAAGCATAAAACCACATGATGTATTACACTTAAAATGTTTTTTTTGCAATAACACTATTGTAAATCTATTTAAAAACTCAGCACTCAAAGAAGCAGAAAGTCAAAGGGCAAAGTACGGAAATATTGCACTGCACTGCAAAAGAACTCACTTCTCATATACCAGCTCTTCATCTATGCAGAAAAAGTGTCGGTCAGCTGTGCTCTTGATCTTTTGATGAAGTATGGCAAAATATAGTTGATCTGAGGAGAGAAGGAAGGAAGGGACGAAGGAGGGGGGCAGGGAGACAACAAAAAGGTTCAAGTTAATTACTTTTGTCATTATATAAGTCCTTTCATCCATTCCGAGCAGGACAGCAGCACTTCCAACGTAACTTATTTAACATTTCTATTTAACATACCCTTAATAAACTCGACACATCTGGAGGAAACATCGTCTGAGGTCATTTTGCGAGCAGATCCGAACATGACGTTTTCCACCTATTGGTACGGAGCGGATTCCTTCACGAAAACATGCGAGTAATTTTTTACACGTGAACTGTGCTCTACTACTTTATTTATTTATTTATTTATTTTTTTAAAAAAAGGTCAAATCAGCTGCATAAAAAGTTTTCGCAAAAAGAAGCTTTATTTCCTGATCCTGAGGTGTTCTGAAAACAGAAGAAAGTCACCATCCGAAGAGCGAAGGAGACTTCAGAGTGCAAGTGCGCACTCTGCTAAAACTGATGCCCCCTCCCACCTTCTCTCCGCGGGAGACTCCTCCCCCACCTCCGAGCTGCCCGGCACGCTATTGGCTGAGACAGATCCAGGGCGCCATTTGATTGGAGGAAGACACTGTTATTCGAGTTCGGGCTCCGCCTGTTTCAGTTTAAAGTTCTCCACATGAGAGACGTGATAGGCCCCGGGATAGTTGCCAAAGCGGTTGCTAGGACGATCCGTCAGCCAGTCAGCTTTGCGAGTTCCACTTAAGACAAACCTCTTTCTGTCAGACTTGAGCTCAAGAAGGATGAACTGGAACCAGGAAACGTCATCAACATTTGAAAACCATTATTAAGAGAAGCTGATGTGGAGTTTACTATTTCTTATCGGCATAAACACGTCACAGCACCGCCCTTGTGCACATGCGTGACATAAACACGGTCGGCTAAAGGAGACGCATGGAGATAATGCATTCCAAGCGTGACTGATCGCACTAGAATAAATACTAAACATCAATTTCATTTTGGATATTTGTTTTAAAGGTAACTCCCAACAAACCCTCTGGCCGATAAAGGACACACGGTGTCGCCATATTGGGGGGAAAAAAGCTGGAGAAAATCAAGGAGTGCTGCGTTTTAAAAGGACACAGTGTACGCAGGTCTCAATGCATTGGCCAAGTGGGCTGAAAGTTGACAGGGTTCACCGTGCAGACCCCTCTTACCTGTTATCTCAATGTAAATATCAGAGCTTAGCTCCGCCTCTGAGCTGCTGTGGGCTGCGCGGCGTTTTTTCCTCGACTCGGTTCGCCTCTTCTCGCTTTTGCGCTTCATTCTCTCCTCGGGAGCTGCAGCATGAAGGGCATTTCCCGGGCGAAGAGTTTGCCACCGATGCCCCCTCCGCCGTTAACGTGACATGGCTTGGCTCCTGCGCCCCGGTGCAGCCTCTCGTGTTGTGTTGTGTGTCAAACCGAGCTTGAGTTGGCTCTCTGTGGTGGTGACGTCTTTGAACAGGGGCAGGTTTCTGTTTTCCGAATCCCCCTGCATGTGACGCATCAGGATTATATGTCCAGAGCCCACCCTTAGCTGATCAGTTGCTTTAGTTTTGCAGGTCACAGAGACCATTCCAAAAGAGACTCGATCAGGGGGAGTTGAATGCACCTGACCAGACCCTTGAATGTGATAAAATGAAGTGAAGCTGGAGATAACATTTTATTTGATAATATGATTAAAAAACCCTTAAAAGATTAATTCAAACAACAGTACAACCGTCACTTTACGCAAAGTACAGATGTAAAATTGCACTCCTATATACAAAGAAACATGAATGGAGTCATAGAAACTAAACAAAGCCAACATAAACAATTAACTCAGCTCTGAAATCTCTTTCAAGTAGTTCTCATACCTGTTGAAAGCTGTGAATACTTTTAGCAAAAACTTTCTCACATTACGAAAACAAACTTGCATGAAGGGCATCTAATTGGGATTCTGTTTGATAGATCAACTAAGCAGAGCTTATTTGTTAGATAGAAGGAAAATTGTTTAAATATTTTTTAAATAATAATTGCTCCATGTGGCTTGCATTTGTATTCACTTTTCTAGTGTTCTATAAAGGTGTTGCTGCTCATTTTTATAGGATCTATTGCATAACTACTCAATTTGTACTTTTGTATGGAGTCATTTGTGCTCTAATCATAGATTTGATCAGAAATTTTCTAATATTTGTGCTGCTGCGATATTATATAGTCCATGTCCATGTATATTCCATCTCTTTTCATTTACTCTGATACTCCTAAATAAAATACAGAATGAGCCACATGCACTACAGAACCCAGCTGTATAATTTAATTTGCTTGAAAAATGTTTTTTTCAGACACTTCCAAGTTTGAGAGAGATTGATGCAATAAAAAAATATAAGAATATACAAAACTACCGGTCTCTCAGTGTGCACAACTTGTTGGGCCTTCCCCTCAAACACTGCCATTAAATACTGGTTATAACAACTGTTTTTTCAGAGGGCCTAAGAACAAATGTTCTTCATAGTTTTTTATTAGCAAAAATAATTTTAAAAAACACATTATAATTTGCCTTCCATTTCACAATTGTTCAAAACTTTAAGTTGGTCAGTCAAATGAAATTTCATGAAAGTAAACAAAAATGTAAAAAGGTTCAAAATAGTCATTTTGCCCAGGACAGTGATTTCTTTTCAAAACTAAAACGACAAGAAAAATTCTATTTTTTTGCTTTGACATGTGTGACATGAGTAGTCTATACAAATGCTGAGAACACGCTGGCCAAAGAAAATACAGCATGTAAAACAAAAATGAAATATTTAGCATATTCAGTTCTATCTTCAGGTCTGTAACTTATGCAGACTGGCAGAACTAGTTATCACTATTTGATTTTTACTGATACATCTTTTCACATTTTAAACATTTAGTATTCAGATTTTTGCTTTGAACTCATTCCCATAGTTCTGGGAACTTTCCCAACTTAAGTAAGCAAAACATGTCAGATCCAGTTTGTATCTATATCCTGATGAGATCAGACTAAAAGTGACACTAGATTAAAATATTAACCACTGTCCACTGACAGACTGAAAAATAATATTGGAAACACAGGAGCTTTAATTTATTTACATCATAAACAGGAACAAAAGAAGTGTGACTTCTAGCGGCTCAAAGAAAATGAGTAATCCCAAATTAATTAATGCTACACATGGATAATTTTTGGTTTAGGACTGAAGTCCAGGCTCTGTTGAACTCCAGCAAGTTGGAGGAGCCAGGCGATGGGCATGTGATCCAGTCGGTTCATATCAAAATGACAAAATTGAACTTGAGAGCCTGCAGAGAGCAGAAGAAAAGAAAAAGAAAACTAAATAAAAGAAGCAAAACTGTATGATTGAAGACTAAGAGATTGTGCCTTACCTGGTCCTGCAATAATAGCTCCACCTTGTTGGTGCAAATCACCTTGAAAATCAAAGGCAGGGCTGGTCATAGCCCTCCATATGCTCTTTATTTGGCCCAAAAATAAACCAGACTTCACATGAGGACTGGGCAGCGCTGGTTACAAAAACACATCTCGGTAATTTTAAGCTTTTATGTGTATTGTATGTAGCCTATCTGCATGTTTTCGAGGTATACTTTCTTTTTAATCTAACACTAGCAGAAACACTTTAAACTCTCATAAATATATTACCAGAGTCTGTGAATGTCTCCTCTCTTTTCATCCCAAGCTTTAGGTAAATGGATCTTTTTGGATCCACATATATTTCATGAGAATAGCCCGTCAGCAAGCAGAAAGGCTGGATTAAATGTAGAGGAGCACAAAGAACTTATTCAGAAATGAATTTAAAAAAAAAAAGAATCCGTTATGGAGTAATAAAGAAAGCTGACATGATTTTAGTTTAGGACAAACGGCATAGAAATCACAGGTGAAACATTTAAAAGTACTTGCATTCCTTTCACTTCTTTGCATTATATACAATTCCAAATACCGAATTTAAATGAGAATGTATTTTATAGGAATATTACACAAACACTATAATGCAGAGTTGTGCTGTTAAAGGAAAATTATGCAGAAATTCCAAAATGTGTATAAATTCAAATCTAAAAAAGGCAATTGTGTTCCACCCTGATAAATGAATATATTGTGGAACCACTTTTTGTTTTGAGGGGTGTCTCAGCCAGTTTTGCACATTTAGAGACTGACATTGTCTTTTTTTCTGAAATAGCTCAGATTCTGAGAGATTGCACAATCTCTCTTCCCCCCCCCCCATTTACAAGTGCACTATTGTGTTGGTCATTCACATAAAATCCAGATAAAACACATTGCAGTTTATGACCTGACAAGATGTGGTTCAAGGGGGATGAAAACATTTGCATTTGTATGTGCCATGTATGCACATACAACATTTATATAAAATTCCAAATACCGGTTTTAAATGTAAAGTCGTACATTTCTTGGGACAATGTCACACAGTATCGATGTTAACACAATATTGATTTTATTACCTCTATATGTTGATGGGCAGACTGACCTATAACAACCAGTCTTATTCCAGCCTCCTGCACAGACATACAGCAAAAAAACTGGTATTTCAACAATAAATCCAACTCATATTTACTCAAGTTGTCACCATAACACTATACAGCATTATGGTATTGCCATAATAAATAACTAAATATCTGAGAGATCATACGAATGTAGGCACGTCCTACATGTCAGGACTCACCTCCAGAGCTCCTCTTGGCACTTTGCTTAAATCATCAACATACTCCTTGCAGCTGTAGCACAAGAAATTCTGCGAGGACAGACGGTGTGTGGCATTCACAAGCATGTACTGTGAGAAAACGAGTTTTAAACTGCCTAAAAGCTGAGTTTATGTAGCACTTCGTTATACTCTGTATGGCTATTTCATTCCCGTTTTCGCCACAAAACGAGAAACCGAGTGTGGACGTGTGCAGGAGGAGCTGAGGGCCACTCAGCTGACAAACTAAACAAACTTCAGAAAGTGTCATTGCCTTACCCGGACGAAAATGATGACCGATTTGCTGTCTTGATATAAACTCTTGAAAAGGAAAGAGTCTCCGCGGCGGTCGTAAATCAAACAGTCCTCGACATCTTTAAGGTTGATGTCGGCAATGGGGGCTGCAGCTGTCCACCTTTCCGAAGAAACCTGTTGAGTAATCGGTGAGATCAATTCAGCCATTTCCCTCCCTGCATGCAGTCTTCCCAGCAAGCAGCGCTATTTCGGGAGTTGCCTCTCAGCCTGGAGGAGCTGGAGCTGGGAAGTGGAACTTCACGCCCATGGAAAAAAGAGAGAGAGAGAGAGAGAGACAAAGAGAGACACACAGAGAGAGAGAGAAGGAATTTAACACAGGTCTAATTTGGAATTTGTACAGAACAAAAGAATGTTCGATTAGTCATGTATTTATTCATTAAAAATAATTGAATATTGTTTGCCATAATTAACTAGATACACATGATACTATTATCTACGGAAGTGTGTTTGTTTAAGCTACACTCAATCAATATTTTTGCAAAAGTGCCTTGTGTGGTTACCTTTGCAAATCAATAAAATCACATCTTTGCCCGCTGTGGTTCTTTACAATCTAGCTCAGACACAATCAAATTGAGCAATGAACACTTTTCAAGTTTTCTCAGAGTTTCTAAATTGGATTAAAAACTGAACTTTGACTGAACAATCAAAACACAAAGACATGAATTGTTCCAAACCTAGCTGCTACCGCTTTGGCTGTCAAGTTTAGAGTCACAGTCCTGCTGGAAGATGAAACCCATGCAGTGAAAAGATGAGTTGGATATCCAGTATTACACGGTGCACAGATATTTTTTACACACGCACAGGTATTTTGAGACAAATTTCTGTCCAGCCTTTTGGCTAATTCTAGTACATTCACAGAAATGTTATTTAATGTGCTTTCCCCCTACCCGATAAATTAAATCTGAAGTCTTTTACGACTATTTAGAGGTGTCACAGTAAAGGGGCATGAAATGCAAACCAGACAATTTCAGATGTTTACTTTATTACAAATAGAGAAAAATACACCATATTTTTGTTGGCTGTTCAATAAATACACATTTGGGATGTGGCAAAGCAAAAAAAATATTTATTGTCATGTTTTTCCAGATGACAACTCCTTCTTAATAATTTAATACCTTTAAGTTATTCCATATAAATGAATAGTATATATAAAGATATTAACAGTTCATAGTCTAGCTTATCTTATGCATAAAAATACTAGCAGCTCTAATTTTATTTGCAAGAATTCATTGGATTTGAAGCTGGTTTAAGATGCAGTAGCTCGTAAATAGGGCATTTTAAAATGTTGTTTTCTATCTTCGTTTTGCATTGATTGTGTAGAATATGGACTTTTTAGTAAAGTCACTATTCTATCGGTATTTAGCTCAGGAATAAAACTGTTGATGTTCATTCACCATCGTCTATATGCGAGATGAAACTTTGGCCTCGTTTGGATTTCCAAATCGCCCTCGTCGGCTTCCTTCGCTCTGCCCTCTCGGTGCGGAAGTGTTATCCTACAGAGCAGCAGCAGAGGCAGAGCTGCAAACTGTTTGGATAAACACCTCGGCGGGTCCCGTGCTGCTTCCTCGGCCCCTGCGTCTTCGCCGTCGGGTCTGTCAGCGCTCACTTTGTCCGTATTTCGTAGCAGGACTATGCGGGGACCGTCCGGCGGAGTGCATTGAGAGCTGCTTCATGCTGAGAGCTACAGCTAAGTTAGCATCTGATGATGAAGATGGAGCTGCTTAGCCTACCAGAAAGCTCTTAGCTTCTGCCTTTTTCACTCTAAATGAGGGAGAAACCGTGAGCTAAACTGGACTTATACCTGCAGAGAGTTCAGGTAAGTCACAGCCTCAAGGTTTACCGTGCTGTGTGTTTTTGTTTATGCTAGTCGAAGAGCCACCTGTTCACTGTTTACATCCTTGTGTTTTCATTCGGCTGCAGCCAGACGAGGTAAAAAAAAAAATCTGTTCAAAAAGCTAAACTTTATTCTGATTTAAACAGATCCGCAATTAAATAGAAATTGTAAAAGTAATATCTCTTATCAGGAAATAATAAAATACGCATGACTCTACAGGATACTACTGCATTTCGGATGAAGTATGATTGGCTTCACTAACAAGGGTAAAACTAGTTTGGTTTAATCATTAATGAAGTTGTTCATGTCGATAACTCTTGACAGTACTGAGCATTCATTCAGCGTATCCCTATAAGTCCCTTGATTTTTATTGACTCACACCTATGCATGTTGCTCTCAGTAAATTCTTGTATCATCGAATATTTCTGCAAAGCAATTAAAAGAGATAAAGGCATAAATTCATCAAACGCTGAGTAATTTATTTAAGCCATTTGTAGGAGTTAACTTTGACTTAATTTGGGCAATCAAACTCCCAAACTCTGGGAGAACTTCACAATTTGACTCTCAAAATATGTGTAATATTAAAATCTAGCATTGTTGCAGCATAGAGAATAGACTCCATCCCCTGTTTGCCCCCTCAAAAAGAAAAAAGAAGCCTTTTAATTTTCTATTGGAAGACTGAGGAGAATGAATGTAATGCTGCTTTGAGTGAAAGATCCATCACAGTGAAGCTGGTGATTGATTTATTTAGAAGTAGATAATAGTGGCAAGGGAGGAGTTTCTTGTTTTAAATGTTGCCTGACAGAGAAGGTGTTGCTCTTAAGTCAAGGTTTATATGTAACCCATGTGTCACTGGGAACATTTACCATCATGTCTCCACTTTGTACCCAGTCTGTACAATTTCTTCTGTACTGGCGTTTCACAACCACTTTATGTCCATGTGATTTTTATTTTCTTTAGCAATCAACTAATTTGATGAAATAAGGAGAATATTATTCCTAGAAATGCAGTTGCAATAAAAATACATGTATTTCTAATTGTCAGGAGCTTCCTTGAATCATCTATATGGGCCATCTTCTCTCCAAAAATGGTTTACGCCTGAAGAAGAGGACGCACAAGTTAAATCACAGGAAGAAGAAGAAGAGGAACTGTTTTCTCCAGGGGCCTTGCATGCTCTGCTTCATCGTCCACAGCAACAGCAGTGGTCTTGACGACGACAGCGACCAGCTGGAAGCCGGTGTCAACGGCTACCGTCACAACAGCATCGCTGGAATCAGTGTGCCGGGTGTAGGTGAAGTCGGCATCGGAGCGGCGGCAGCCTCGAAGCTCGCGGAGCGATACGCGGCTCTTGCATCGCCTGAAGATTGCTCCAAGTTTCTGCTGTCGCAAAGAGAACTTGCCATCTGGGAGGGCCAGGGGAGGAGTCTTTTGTCAGCTGTTCCTGCCAAACTGATTCCACCACCGGTGCTTTTCCGAACGGCTGGTGTGTCTGTCACTGTGCCCATACCTGTGGCTGTTCCCGGCTGCACCAGCGAATACGCAGAGATGGTAGGCATCGACTCTAAACTCTCTAGCTGCTGAAAACTCTTACAGAAAGTATTCAGACGCCTAGACTCTCATCAAATTTTGTCACGACACAGCTACACATTGTGTTTGAAAACACAAAAATTTCCAAATATTATAAAATTTTTCTTCTTCACAACTATGCACTTTGTTGGTCTATAACAGCGGTCTGCAGCCTCCAGAGCAGCAAGTGGCTTTTTTGCCCTTTTCCACAATGGCTCTTAAAAACATAGGTAAAAAATAATAATAAACTAGTTAATGTTTTTAAATATAGATATGATAACAAATGCAAGTTTTAGTAGACTTTTTCATGGAACAATTGCATAAAATTTCAACAACAGAATGTCAATGAAAGTACCACTAATATTTTTTGATACGCTTTTCTTGTCATTAGGTGGAATGTTGATTTTAAAAATATAGATTTTTCATAAAAATCAACATCCCTCAGAAAAAAATGTATTCAGCTTCTTTTTGCAAAAATTGTTTTACAAACAGCGTTTTTAAGAATGATGAGACATTTCCTGAACTAGATATTCATCCAAATTGGAAGTTGTCGCCTTAGTCTACAAATGTTACAAGGTTATGTAACATTTGTAGACCAAAGCAAATTTTATTCAATTGAACCGAGGGACAAAAATGTCTCTTTGGTTTGTAAATGGTAAATGGCTTGTACAGGTTGCAGATTCCTGGTCTGTAACATAAAATCCCAGTAAAATACTTTGTAACTTACGGCAAAATTATGACAAAATGTGGAAAAGTTAACCTTCTCCGGATGCCTTTTTAGGGACAAGTAAATAATATATTTATAAAATTTGTATAAAACAAAAAAATTGAGTCATTTAAAGTCTTTTCTTTTCTGTACACCTTAAAATGAACAATTTTCATTCATTGTTGAAGTAGTTACAAAGTCAAAAGAAGTATTGAAAGTACTTCAGTCAGTTTTTCATTTTAAAATGTAAAGTCAGATGTATTAAAGCCTCGATAAATCAAAAGTCCCTGATCAAAAAAGTTGCACCTGAACACACCGTGCAGACACTTGATAACTAAGCTGTGCCGTCTCAATAGAGAACCTGATAGATCTGCCTGCATCTCTGAATGCAGGTGTGCAAGAGGAAGTGCTCGGAGGTGCAGAGGTGCACCCCATGCAAGCAGCCGCGCTGTGCCTTTGCTGCTCCTGATGGAGTGGGAGCAGGAGGAGATGTAGGAGGAGCAGGGGATGCTGGTTCGAACTCTGAAACTGGTCACAGCCACCTTCCCATCTGCCCCATTCCCTCTTCCTCTTCCACCTCCACTTCCTCCTCCCCAGCAGAGTGCTGCTGTGGGTTGACTCTTCATACCGAATCGCCCAACAGTTCAGAGTCAACCCCGTGCTGCCTGCATCACTATGATGACTGCCAGGCTAGAAGTTCTGATGCTGCTGAGCATCTAAGTATCAACCACCTGCCTTCCTCCATTCTTCTTAAGGTCAGTGAAGGGAATGTAACTCTCTGTTACTTATACTTTTTTATTTGTATGCATTAGTAAACTAGAAATGCTTGCGTTTCTTCTGCTCACAGGTGCTGTCCCACCTGACAGTGAAAGAGCGCTGTCTTTGTGCCTCTCTTGTTTGTAAGTATTGGAGGGATCTTTGCTTGGACTTTCAGTTCTGGAAGCAAATCGACCTCAGTGGCTTGCAACAAGTAAGAGACTATTTATTGATCATTACTCTTCATAAACATCACTATTCATAAAGAAAACCTTTGCTTTCGATAATAGAAAATAAAACTGTCTTTTAAATGCATTTGTCAAATTTTTTTCTTGTTCTTATTCTTTAGGTCAACGATGATCTCCTTGTGAAT